CGGACGCGGCACTGACAATAGTAGCTTTATCAACCAAGTCACTTTCCTCCGTACGATCCGGGGACACCATCTCCTTGCTCGTCCGATCGCGTGCACAACCGACGACGATGCCGACGCCCGCACTGGCCACGACGCACTGTGGTCGCGCTACCACGAGTACCATCGTCGTAGTCTCATCGTCGTCGCCGTGTCTCTCTGCGCTTGACACACCAGGTGGGGAATTAAAACAGCCAGGGGTGAGAGAAACCAAGGCGGGACGGGTTCCGTTCCAATCCAGTCCGGCTCAGTCCGGGACTAACGGTGACTTTCGAAGAAGGCGGTGGTCGTCCCCCGATCGACTGCACGACACCGATGCTCGATGGCAGGAGACGCCCCAACGCGGGGCACCTAGTTCGACGTATGCCGAGCAACGGCTCACCCCGCGATCCGTCTGCGCTCGGCCCGACTCGCGCAGTACCGTAACCACCACGGGTGCTCACCTACCCCAGGATCCCCACGACACCCCCCTGCACTCTCTATTCCCCTCCACGTTGCCAATTCTCTCCCTTACTCTCTATCCTCTGTTCCCTCTGTCCAACTTCCTACTCTACTGCCCTTTCGTATCACCTCCCTCTTCTTTTTCTTCTCCTCCTCCTCTTCATCCCTCTTTCTTCTCTATCTCTCTTTGTATGCTAGCCTCGAACGGCCACTTAACCGCGAAATTTTGAAGAACGCCTTATTTCTCGTACGTGTTCCCTTTCTCTCTCTCTCTCTCTGTCGATCAAAGATCGTTTCGTCATCTGTTTTCTAACTATCTTCGTTAGAGGTTCGATCGCGGTCTGAGCATAGACTAGGTTGTTCTACTAGACCCACATGAAACGTATACTCGTAAATCTGATCGCGTACCCTTTTTCGAAGTTTCGCGGACCGATATATGGGGTAATCGATCTTTCTCCTCTATCTCTCTTTTTTTCACCGTATCTCTTTCTATATACCGTTCCTCCGTGCGCAATGTCTACGAATTTCATTCTGCCTATTTGACGCGCGTCGCTGTGCCGTAGAGGAGACCCTCGTTTGAACGATCTTTCATTGATTGAACCGCGACTACCCCGATGGCAAAAGTGAAGAGAGAAAGGGGAAAGAAGATGGTATTAGCGAGTTGCATGCGGGCCAGCCAGGCGAGAAAGGTGTAGGCGATAGGTGGACCCCGGGTAGTGGGAGTAAACGTATGGAATTGTTTTAGTCGCGGGCACCAAGAGCCCTTTGGGGTGACCTGAAGCCGTCGGGCACTCAGCGGCAAAGCGGGGGGTTAAGGAAGCCCTTGAAATCAATAGCCAGTCGCTACTGCCGCCGCCACCCTGATCAGGCTGCTCTGCGCTGTATCCGACGCTCCACTCTCTGCCATCCACCACCACCACCACCACCACCACCACCCTCTACCCCGATCCTGATTTATCTGCACGTTCTAGCCCGCTACCAAGTCCTATCCGGCTGTTAGTCCACAGTCGAACGTCTCGCTACCAGTATCGTTCGACGAGCCCGATCAAACGGAGCCACGTGTCCGCTGAAAGAATTCTCCCGGTTTCTCTCTATATATCCGGTTAACACACACGAAATTTTTAATGTCCCCTTTCTCATCATAGGCCCCGAAATCATCACGAAAATCGGTGCCACCTACATCGCGTTGAAAAGATGTGAACACGACACCGTGTATCGTTGTTCCGTTCTCCACGACGGTGTTTCCTTTCTACGAACGAATGCGGAAAAATGTACACGAAATAATTAGATAACGATCGACGACGATGATGATATACGCGGACGTTGAGGATAATTTTGCACACTCAAGAAGAAGGAATGATCGTTGTCGTTTTGTTTTCTCCATGCAGATATCACGTATACGCGTGTAAAAATGGTGTTCCTGCTTTATGCCGAGGTTGTGAATCATTATGACATGCAGTTTCTCCTCGTTCGATACACTTCTTCATCGGACGAATATGATCCGTGGTAGACCCGAAAAGTTCGCCGCGAATTCGTCAGATTTCGAGTATCTTTGTACCCCTTCACCTTCTTCCCTTCCTCTCGTCGTCTCACCCCATCCCTCCCTCCCCCCCTTCGTCACCTGAACCCCTCACCGCCGTTTGCCTCTTTCTTTTTCCGTTCGATGGACGACGGCGCAGGGAGAAAGTATGCGAGTGCATGTGCACCGCCGGCGCAGCGGGGGGGGTAGTCTGATTATAAGTTGACCTACTCTACTTTGGTTGGTGTATCTATTTTTCGGGAATGAAGGGTTTAAAATTCATCTATAAAATTATCTCGCTCGCGGTGTGCTCGATCGATTCGCGGATACCTATATTTACGCCGGTCTAATATTACGCGAGATATCGAGTTAACCTTCAACCCGTTAATTGATTGGCGGCGATATGTTCATATACACAAAGTAACATGCATTACTTGAACTTGTCTGTTCAGCGTAATTTTTTATTTAACATATATAGTAAGAAAATCGAATGCTACACTCGTTTGGAACAATTGTTTCGTAATACGTCCGCTAATGTCATTTCGATATACATATATAGTATATTTCATTTAATTAAGACCGTCCTTATGAGTTCAGTCGTATCTCTTCTTTCTTTATTCTTCTTTTCTTTCTTTTTTTATTATTATTTACACGATAGCAATCTGGTTCGTTTCGTTTATCTGAATCGTAATTATTGACATTATAATTCTACGTATCGTTATTACATGTTCTTCTTCGTCTTTTTTTTTTCTTTTTTTTTTGGTTTTTCTTTTCGTAACAGTTATA